ATTAATGATTGAGCTCATAATAGAGTGTATTACAACCTCTTCGATGAAGGTTTTATGGAATGGTGAGCCCACACAAGCTTTCAAACCGGGGAGAGGAATTCGACAAGGCGATCCGTTATCTCCATACATCTTTGTCTTATGTATGGAACGCCTCAATCAATTGATTGAGGAATCAATTATAGAGGATCGTTGGAAGCCAATTTATGCAAGTAGGAATGGCCAAAAATTATCAAATCTTTGCTTTGCTGATGACATAATTTTGTTCGCTGAAGCTAATATTGATCAAGCGGTGGTTATTCAAGAGTGCCTTGCTAGATTTTGTAGCGCCTCGGGTCAGAAAATTAGCTATCCAAAATCAAAAGTTCATTTTTCTCAAAATATGGCTATTGGAAAAATTCAAGAAATTTGCCATGCTTTGGGAATCGATGAAACGGAAGACTTAGGTATGTACCTTGGCATGCCTACCCTCACAAGTAGAGTCACCCGAAACACCTTTGCATATTTATGTGAGAAAATAGATCGCAGACTCGCAGGGTGGAAGTCGAAATACATTTCGATGGCTGGAAGAATCACCCTAGCAAAAACAACTTTGACAACAATGAGCTCGTATGCAATGCAAACACCCAGAATTCCCATTTCAATTTGTGACGATATTGATAAAAGAATTAGGCGCTTTGTGTGGGGATGAGATGAGGAACACAGGAAAATTCATATAATTTCATGGGATGTTTTACAAAAGTCGAAGGAACAAGGAGGCTTAGGAATTCGATCAGCTAGTAATACTAACGCGACATTCTTGACCAAGCTCGGTTGGCGCATCCTAGGTGAGCCTAATGCCTTATGGGCAAGAGTGCTACGAGAAAAGTATTGTAAAGGAAGGTGCGATATGGATATGTTTGAAACTAAAGCTAATATGTCGAATGTATGGAAAGGAATCTCTGAGAATGCAAAATATATCTCGGCAGGTTCAAGAGTTGCTTTGGGAAATGGATCGTCCACTCTCTTTTGGGACCATAATTGGGCGATGTCTAGCCCTCTTAGAGCAGCTGCAATTGACACTATTTCGGAGCAGCTAGATGGGGCAACGGTCGAAGAACTATGGGATGAGGAAAGTGGTTGGAAGTGGGATTCCTTCGCTGAGCTCCTCCCCCCTGATGTGCTGAGATTAATTGAGGCTCATGCCTTGAGAAAAGACAACGACATAGGGGATTTGTTATATTGGAATGGGGGATCAAAAGGAAAATTTTCTATAAAATCCGCAATGACAATCATTCGTCGTGACGATGATCCTGGGAATGATGGCACTTGGAGTCTAATCTAGAAGCTAAAGGTTCAGCAACGAGCCAAAGTTTTCCTTTGGCTAGCAATGCACGATCGGCTCATGACTAATGCTAATCGGTTGAAGTGCAATCTCACTAACTCTCCTTGGTGTAAAACTTGCAAGGACTTTGAAGAAACTACAATTCATGTCTTAAGAGATTCCAAAGCGGCAAAGGAGGTTTGGAGGCAAGTTGGAGGCCCAGCTGCTACTGGCAGCTTCTACCAAGGTTCATTAAAGCAATGGATTGGGTTTAACATTAAACATCAAGTGCGAAGCAATCTTTCCCCTGAGGTTTGGCCAACCTATTTTGCAATTACCTTATGGTGGATTTGGAGGTGGAGGAACAATGTAGTATTTGATAGAACTCAAGACATACCCTTCAATATAAATCAATTTCTTCTTGCAAGGTTCGAAGAGGTATGGCGTGTTTTGGGAGAAGACGCTCAAGTTAACTCTCAGCAAGCAAGAACAAGGAATGAAGCTTTTGTTCGTTGGTTAGCACCTCCTGTAGGGTAGCTGGCGCTCAACACGGATGGTGCAGCTAAAGGAACCCCTGGACCAACAGGGAGTTGGGGGCTAATTCGTGACTACACTGGTAAAATGCTCCATGCTTTCTCACTCAAGATTGGTGTATGTGATGCCTATATGGCTGAATTGAAAGCTATTGAATATGGGTTGGAACTAGCACAACGAATGAATGCTGCAAAACTCCAGGTTCAAGCAGATAGCCAACTGGTGGTGGCAGCTCTAACTACTGAAGAAACTCACAGAGGCCAAGGATACCATATCATACGCCACTGCAAGCAGCTTATCGAAAATTCTAATTGGCAAGTCCAAATAATCCACATATACAGAGAAGCAAATCGTGTCGCGGACTGGATAGCAAACCAAGGCGTCATCCAGAACAACAGTATCGAGTTGATTCAATTCCCTCCTATAGAATTAGGACGTATTCTTCATGATGATATTGTTGGTGTGGCCTTGCCACGTTTAATTCCTAGTTAATAGTTTGTTTTTCCTTTCTGGGGCTTTGCCCCTCGTGAGCACCAAAAAAAAAATACATTTTGTATACATTATCAATTGATAATTAGCTTTTAAAATTTTAACATGTATTTTTACAAATATAGAAAAATTAATATTCTAATTGTCAATATAACACAATGATCAAATTAAAAAGTATACTCCATATGTCCGATAAATTAATTACTTTTGTATATATTTACTCCGCATCTATTATTCGTAAGGTTATAAACTATATGATAATTTATACTGGTATAATATAAATAAAATGAAATTATTTCTCGTATAAAACTAATTAGTAAATGTATTACTTACTAAATATGTGCATTGAAAAAATGAAAAATGCAATTAAAATGTACAGAAATTCATCAAATGAAGGCCAAGGGGTCTTAATATAAAGAGAATGAATAAGCTACTCATTTTATATAATCTTTTCGTTAGATTGGGTATCATGTACGATATTTAAAAAATAATTTAAGTTCTCTTTAAAAAAATGATTAAAGTTTTTAAACAAATTTGTATTATTACTTAAAAAGCATAGATTTTACTATTTGAATGAAAGCCTTTAAAAAAAATGGATGAATACAAAATTAATTATACACACATAAACACATACACACATACAAGATACAACTAATACAAGTAGAACAAAAGTAAAAAATAATAATAATAAAGTCAAAAGAAAAAAGTTAAAAAAAAAATTAAAAAAATAACCTAAGAGACCCGTTTTTATACAACCGGTCTCTTTTTGTTTAAAAGGGGAAGCGGGCTGGTCAGCAGGTCAGGTATTAGTTTGCTATGGAATAATCAAAGAGACCTGTTATTTCAAAAAAACAGGTCTCTTTGATTAACAGTGTTATTATTTTTTTTAGGGGTAGCAAGTGCTACCCCTTATTACTACGTAGGTAGGTCCGCCTCTGTGTGCCGCACCCGCAAACTAAGAGAGAGAATCCACTTCACAAGTCCAAAGGAGGTTCTATCTCAAAACCACATGGCAACAGGAGGTTTATCCCCTTAGCTTTATAAAGTGTTTGACTATCTCTTCGTTCTTCAACCAATGTGGCAATGTGGAACACTTACATGTGGTGATACTTAGGAGGTCTATTCTTCAACACTCCCCTTCACATGTAAGGTCCCTTATAACTTTGTCTCATGTGATTTTTCGTACTAGAGTGCTTCTTTACTGTAAATTCGCAATATCATCTACAAATCTACAATTATGAAAGATACCAAAATGAGTATATGACATGACAAATGACAATTGTGCAGAGGACCGCAGTTCACAGCAATTGTACGCACTACTTGTACATGCATGCCTAATGCCTACATTACATTTTCCTTGAAGTCAAACAAAGAACTGATTGTAGCTTCAGAGATAGGATAGATGTTCGAAATGAAGGTGCCAAATTTGTACTACGTTTATATATGATGAGTTGTTGGTTGAAGACTTGATGATATATCTAGCCCCTACCAAGAGATTTTCTTTGTTTTTGTTTTTTTTTTTGTAAGGATTATAACTTTTATTTCTAGGAGATAATAAGCTTCATCCATAAATTTCCCTTAAATATATAACCAATGTAATGGTGACCATAAATTTTGTAGTCATTCATTTATATTAAAATTATCAAACACTCTAACATAGTTTGTCAGCTTGATTTTCATTGCTACTAAAAAAAATCACCAAAATTATATTGGGTTTGTGTGTTGATAATTTCAAGCCGAGAAATTTTCTAAATTGGGTGGTTTAGGGACATTTTGATCCGGCCTTAGGCATGCCTTTATTACAAATTCTTAAATGGACCTGGTTCACACTAATTTATTGTGGACCACTAACATTAGAGAAAGTATGGTTGTTTTATTAATAAAAAAAGGGTCACTATAATTAAAAAAAAAAGGTCACTATGTTGAAATAAAAATCATTTTGGTTATATATAGGCCTAAGTGGTTATTTTTGTAATGAAATATTTTATATACTGATCAATATGAATAATAAAGGCCACTATGTTAAAATTAGGATAATAATGTCGTATTTCAAGTTCACAATATTATTAAACGTTGTAGTAGTTTTAATAAAGGTTACTATGTTAGAAAATAAGGTTATTATGTTAAAAATAATGGTCACTATGTTCAATATAATGTCAGTTGCGTGTGTATAGACCTCGGGTCCACAATAATATTATTGTGGACCAGGTCCACGCAAGTCTTTTTGTGCCTTTATATGCCTTTTAAACTTACCAAAACAATTTTTTAATCTATTGTCTGTTCTATATACTATTTCCGTTTCTTATTAATAACAATAAATATATTTTTATGTCTACAACTAAAACTCCTTTGCTACAAATAATAAGAAGCTAGCTAGTAATTGGGCCCGGACGATGCCTCGTGTCATTATATGAAGTTGATCATTAATATACATTTTAATTTCCAACTCAAATTTCTTGTAATTAAATTTGTTTTTCTTATTATCAATCGCAATATATTAATAGTTTGTATTCAAAAGATAATATAAATACCACATATGTAAGACACTTAGTTTTAGAATTATAGGTTACATGTTCAAATGTTGTGGAGATTCTTTTTTATTATAAGTGCATGACGTGCAATTAAAAACAATTAGAAAGGAGAGCCACGTGGCGTACTGAGAAGCTAAGTGGATGACGTGGCGTAATGAGAGGTTTACGTGGAGAAAGTAGAAATGCAGGGTTGTGAGACATTTGGGTATTGTCTCACAATGGCAATTTTGCAATTAAGTGGATAATATATTAAAACGGGGCTGGTTTTGGAGGGAAAAGAAACCGTTTAGCTAAAAAATAAAACGGGGGGTCCTAAAAGAATGATAGTGACATTTGAATAAAATACTAATATGCTGAGGGGGGGTCCTAAAAGAATGATAGTGACATTAGAATAAAATAATAAAAAATGTGTACTTGTTGAATAATTTTCGGAAAAGCAAAAAAATTAGTCTTCTTCTACCTTATTTCTCCCAAACTCTAAAAGGCAAAAACTGTAGAAGAAATATCAGAAAAGTATCTACGTTAGGCGAATGCAATGGTTGGAGATGGTGTTACTCACGACGAAGCTGTCGTTAGTAACACCGGCGATGATGACGTAATGATGCTTGATCTGGTGAATGATGGCGGAGGAGGAGGTCAGGTCGAAGAGGTGAATGACGGTTCTGCTTTAAGGGAGTTGTTGAAAGGGGTAAGTATTTAACAAATGAACACGAAAATCGATTTATAGGGTTTGATGTCATTTATTGTGAAGTATGTGTTTTGAGTAATATTAGGCAGTAAATTAGGTTTCAATCGTATTGGATTAGTGAAATTGAAATTGTAATTGACAAATGAAGTGGAAAATTGAATTGGAAAATTGAATGTGTATAGGAGTTCTGTTGTCTGAAATTGAAGATCACTGTTTTGTTTAGTGTAATTTGGTTAAGATTGAGTAGTTGTTGTTATTGGTAGCATTTAATTTTGTCTATTTAATTGTTATAGTTTCTCAGTCAAATGGAAGTATTAAAGCAAAAGGTTGATATTGAATATAGACAAAGGTTCAGTAGTGAGCTCTCCCAGTTGAATAAATAATTAAGATGGAAGATATTAAAGCAAAAGGTTTATATTGAATATTACACATATTATGATTTGCGCCCGATGTTAATATTTTCTTTAAGTTATCCTTTGTTGTTGGGTAGTTGTTTTAGATTAATTAGTTTTTGGATATGTCTATGGTTTTAATTAGTTGTATTTATTTTTGAAATATGGATGTATTATATATGTTGTTATATTTTTTTTGAATGAAGGTTGTGGTTGGTGAAGAGTCTTATAAGACTCCAAAGAAAGGTTTTAGTAGTGTTGCAATATCAGTTGAGATAGAGGAGTTTGTTGAAGTGGATGTTGGTCTTCCTCCTCCTTCAGTTGGGATGGTTTTCCAGTCATGGCAGGAACTTGATGAATATTTTAGGGAATATGGGAAGCAAAATGGATTTGGTGTTATTCGTACTAGTGCTTGTAAAGTAGGGAAAGGGCCTAATGCCAAAATGAGAAGGAATTGTTTATGGACATGTGAGTGCTTTGGGTTGCCTGATAGGAAGCGGAAGAAGGTGGATGCTAGTCTAGTGACCGATGCTCAGGTTGTGTGAGGATGAAGCGGTTGGTGTGAAGAGGAGGAGTAAGAAAGTTGACTGTCCTGTGAATGTGTATGCTAATGTTAATGAACGTGGGGAATGGGTTGTTTAGCGGGCAGAACTTAAGCATTGTCGACACACACCGACTCCAGGAAAGGCTAAGAATATAAGTAGGTTGAGGAAGAAGTTTCTGGTGGAAAATCCACATGTTGTGAGGCAGCTTTTCAACGAGCGGCGATGTGGGGTTCCCGTGGCAAAAATATATAATAAAATGGCCAGGGAGCGTAACGGGGTGGAGAACATGCCCTTTGCCCAGAAAGACCTTCATGAGGAAGTGGCTAAGCTCAGGAAAATAAATTTTGATGAAGGTGACGCTAAAGCAATGTTTAGCTATTTTCAAACTATGGTTGATGATAACTCTGATTTTTTCTACACTTATCGAGTTGATGAAGAGGGTAGGTTGAAGGATGTTTTGTGGGTAGATGCTAGGTGTCGCATGGCATATGAGGAGTTTGGAGATGTAGTTTGTTTTGACTCCACATACTTGACTAATGAGTACAAGTTACCATTTTGCAACTTTGTGGGAGTTAACCACAATGGTCAAACAATTCTTTTTGGGTGCGCGCTTGTTAGGAGAGAGACTGTTGAGACCTTTGAGTGGGTTTATAGCAATTGGTTGCGGTGTATGAACAACAAAACCCCGGTTGCAATACTAACAGATCAGGACCCTGCGATGAGGAAAGCTTTGAAGACTACAATGAAAGGGACCACACACAGGTGGTGTATTTGGCATATATTGCAAAAATTCTCTACCAAGCTGGGAAAGCATCCAAATTATCCCGAGTTGAAGGTAGACTTAGAGAGTGCTGTGTATGATAGTTTGGACATTGAAGAGTTTGAACGACGGTGGGCAGAGGTGATCAAGAAACACGAATGTGAAACGGACGAGTGGTTGGAAGGTTTGTAGTTCTAAAATATGACTTTAATGTTATTAATTATTCCGACATAAAAAGGAATGTTGTAGTCGGGTTTTATGCTTCTGTTTTTTATGGGTTAAATATTGTATGCTTCTACTATTTATTGTAATTTAGGTTTTAAAATATTACTTATGTTTATGGTAGTAGTACTATTATTTATGCTTTGTTGGTATTAATACTCTTCTGGTATAATGTTGTAAAATATTATTTATGCTTCTGCTGTATTTACTATTGTGTTATACACAGAGGCCTATTCCTGGTTTGGGTGTGTGTTAGACCAGGCCTTTTGGATCAGTTCAGTTAATGTGTTATACATGAGATGTGTGTTGTTATACATGTATTTTGTGCCATTTAGTGTTTCTGTTATTTTCCACTTATTTGAAGTTTTTTGAAGGCTTGTATGGTGAACGTGATATGTGGATACCTGCGTTCGTGAAGCATCTTTTTTGGGCCGGCATGAAAACAACCCAGAGAATTGAGAGTATACATAGTTTTTTCGATGGTTATTTGAGCCGTAGTTTTTTCGATGGTTATTTGAGCCGGCATACATTGCTTTGTGAATTTGTGGAGAGATATTGTGAAGCTCTTGAGGTTAGAGTCGTTACTGAGAAAAGAGCTGATGATAACAACTCCAGATATGTTAGGCAGCCCATGACATCATTCCCAGCTGAGTCTATGTTTCGGAAAATATATACCGATGCCAAATTTAAAGAAGTCCAAAGGGAGTGCACTAGGCTGCTATATGTGACGGGTAGGGAGGCACAACTAAGTCTACATTTCAATGTTGTACACATTTCAAGAATTTTTTCGCAGATTGAATTTTGTTTATATTGTACATGTTACAGGTTTGGAGAAGCGGCAGATCTCTGATACATTGATAGAACATGTGCTTGAGGATATTGTTTGGTGGAAACCTAAGAATTCAAGGAAGGAAGTACCCTCTCAGAGGAAACGGGTGTACAAGGTGACATACAATAGCAGCACAAAAGAAGCAGATTGTGAATGAAGGTACTTCGATTGCCATGGTATCATATGTCGCCATATGATTATGGTGTTTCAGATGAACAACTGTAGAGGAATTCCTGATAAGTACATCCTACGTCGTTGGAGGAAAGATGTAATTAGGAAGCACACTAGAGTGAAAGTGAAGTACCATGATCCTAGCAAGACGGAGGTCGTATGTAGATTTGATAAGATGATGGTGAATTTCTCTCCCATTTGTTCTAAGGCTTCTATTTGCAAGAGTGCTTCCGATGTAGTGTTGAATGGTTTGCAGTTGCTTGATATACAAGTAGAAGAGAAATTGTCCATGTTAACCCGAAACAGATCTGTCCTTTTGGGGTGTAATGGGACACCTTCTTCTGTTTGTTTTGAAAAAGAGGCTTCACCACCTGATACTGAAAAGCAAGGAATTTGTGCGAAGGACCTGTTTACACAACTTGCTACCATAAAGGACCCGCCAATTCCGAAGAAACCTCCTCACCGTACCACTGCTTCGAGGTACAAGTCTTGTGTTGAAAATTCGAAAAAACCGGGTAACAAGAGGAGTAGTGGAAAACAAGGAAGTGCTGCATCTGCTGGGGGCTCTCAAAACAACCTTCAATCCTCTTTTTCACAGGTAAGTCACTGATACGTTAATTATTGAATTTGAAAATAATTGTTATATTTATTTTTGGTTATCTCTTTGTTTTGCTTATTGGGGTGTATTTGGTTCTAATAGGAACAACAACATCCATTTCCTATGATGGGTTACAGTCCTCATTGTGTAGGAGGCATTCAAATGACAGATGGAGATGGGTCTTTGGGGTAATTCACTTCGTTGCATGGGGTGGAGCGGCCTCCTTCTGTTGGGGTTGCTAATTCTCCAAGTCAGAGGCCTTTTTTCCTCCCCCCACATCCACATTATTTGGCGTACCAACAGTACTATCAAATGCATGGAATGGCGATGCAAATGGGGGGTGGTTATATGTCGCCTAATACGGCTGGTTCTCAGTTCCCGTACATGGTGAGGCCTGGAAGTATGAGCGAGACTCCCACCCATGGTGGGTCCAACAGTACCAAGTAGGCTAACATTTTAACAATGCAATGCTGCCCACCCTTTTTGTGTAGTAATTCTAGGATATGGGTAGTTTTACTAGTTGTAAAAAGTGGTGTTGATGGTCAATTTTTTGTAAAGTACATTGCATTTCTGCCCACCCTTTTTGTGTAGTAATTCTGGGATATGGGTAGCGTAACAGGTCAATTTTTTGTAAAGAAATCTAACTTATAACTTTGAAAACCATATGATGCTATATGGTTTTGCCATTGCTTTGTAAAGGAAAATTTAACCTTTTGGGGAAAATGTGATGGTCATGAATTTGGGCTAGGTTGTTGTTTAATTAAGTAAGTGTTAATTTTTTTTTAATCATTGATGTTATTTGGGCCAGGTTGTTTAATTTGTGCCAGGTTGTTATTTGGGCCAAGGTTGTTTAATTTGGGCCAGGTTGTTATTTGGGCCAAGGTTGTTTAATTTGGGCCACAATTGTTTTTTAATTAAGTATGTGTAATTATTTTTTTAATCATTGATGTTATTTGGGCCACGCCAGGTTGTTATTTGGGCCAAGGTTGTTTAATTTGGGCCACAGTTGTTGTTTAATTAAGTATGTGTAATTATTTTTTTAATCATTGATGTTATTTGGGCCACGTCAGGTTGTTTAATTTGGGCCAGGTTGTTTTTTAATTAAGTATGTCATTTGGTCCAGGTTGTTATTGTTTAAGCACTGTTACTACGTATTTTGTTAAAGGTCCACTGAAACTGTAAAGGTCCAATTGAACTACTTAATGGTATCGCTGACATTGGTTTTGACATTGGTTAAAGGTACGAATGACATTGGTTACTACCTAAACCCTGGGTAGTCAGTCCAATTGAAGTAGTTAATGGTACCACTGAGACCTAAAAGGTCCAACTGGGTGTATATTTTAATTGTTAAGGTCCAACTTAAAAGCTTAAAGATCTATCTGAATTTGTTAAAAGGTCAATGGGAGGGTGAAAGTTATTAGGATCCACTGTAACTTGTTAAGGTTCCATTGTAACTTATTAGGGTACTACTCAGTACTTGGTATTAGTGAAGTAAGGGTTACCTTTAAGTCCAACAATGGTACCTTTGAGATAAATTATAGTACAATCAAATTAAGAAGAAATGGAAGATGCAATTTTATATATTAATAAGTAAAATAAGCAGTGGGTATCATGATTTTATTTTGGTGACAATGATGTATTGAAGCTCCTTTAACACTAATGAATGTAGTTAGGAACTTGGAAGTGATATTTTGGGTAGAAAGATCACATGAAAGTCGTTACTTGTTTAGTTATAACAATTCGATAAACCTTTATTGTCTCATCACATATACTTTTATTTCTGTATATTTTCACTAAAAAGCATAAATATTAATACCATTTTACCATATAGTGACACCATGTATTTAATAAATGGAATTGATACTGTTGATATGTTATTGTAATACTTTTGATATATTTATATAATACTTGAATAATGTTCAAGTTGTGTGTTCATCATTTTCAAACGTCCAATTATGTGTTGGTTTCATACCATTGACAACAACTTATTACCATTTGAGACTTGATGCTGTACCACTACGTCTGTAAAACCTCTGTAATTGTTTAGGGTACCACTGTAACTATTTAGGGTACCATTAACTATGTACTTTTACTGTCATAAATAATAGTTCAACTGGGACTATCATTTGATGCACTAGTGTTACCAACTGTTAACGAAGGGTTACCTCTAGGTGAAAAATTAGTAGCTCTAAGTCTTGTTAGGGTACCTCTAAGTCTTCCTAGGGTATCATCATTACAGTAAGAGGAAACCAATACATTATTCATGCATTTTGTTATAAATAAATAGTATTTGTTATAAATAAATAATGTTTGATGATGGTGGGAGGGATGTATCACTACAATCAAATATGAGAAATTCATGTATTATGTTATTATTCCCTTGTAAGTAAGATGATACGAATTGGTAATGTTATCAGGAAGATAATGAAGATAAACCTTTGTTTCCCTTTTATGTTTCTATGGTTATCATAGATAAACCTTTACTTCGAACTTTGTCATATTGACGATTAATGGTTTAATATATGTAGGTTGTTACAATTTGGAGGTGGGATTAACAAATGAATAGTGCATTTTTTGGCAATATTATGGTGTAATTAATTAATTAATGTACTTTAAAAAATTTTACCACTGAAATTAAAGGAAAGACCACTGAAAACAACAAATTACCAGTTTCAATATTCTTTTGTACCACTGTAAGCCTAATTTAGACCCCCTAGTGGTAGTGATAGTGAATAGGATGTAACAGAAGACCACGTGTGTTATGTGAAAGGCCCAAAAAGCCCAAAAGCGCCAAAGTTTTCGTTGTTTTATCGCCCAAAATTTCGGCTACAATTAAAAGATCTTTCATTTGCCTTTGGTTATAAATACACAAATACCCATTTGCAATTCAGTCAAAGTAAAATGAAAACCGATATTGGAATTAGATTAATCATGTCTTTAAACACAACATCTTCAGTTGGCCTTGGAAACAATTTTGGAGCCGGCGGCGACATTTTGTGGGTGGCTGCGAAGCGTTGCAACTGCGGGGGGCAAGCAATAACCGAATTCCGTATTTCGCTATCGGAGGCTAATCCTAGACGACCATACTACAAGTGCAGGGGTTGTTCATTTTGGCAATGGGCAAGGGAGGAGGATATGGTAAGAAGCACCAATATTGGTGTAGTTGAGATTGGGCAGAGGCTTGATGTAATTGAGAAGAGAATTGCTACTATGAAATATGTAATTCTTGTAATTGTACTTGCTCCTCTAGTATTGCGTATCTTCACTTGATAGTTTAAGATTGGTATTAAAATGGTATTAAAATAGCTACTAAAATTATGGGTTATCTATGTATTTTCACTTGAAATATATAGTTTAAGATAAATGCTGTTGGTTGAATGAAAACTTAGGATTAATGGTTTTGATTTAATTATGGCAAACAAAGAACCTAAATGTGGTTTTATGAGATAGTCAAATAAGGTAGAACATAACATTATAATAAAATTTTAAACATAACAACATACATAATAAAGCTATTACATCCGACTACTAGATACGTAACATAAAATTTAGCCGTAGTGAAATCATAGCAAGTTAAAATAAGTCATAAGAGTCATAGCAAATTCCCGCTACACTAGCAGTGTCTAAATAGATAAGTGGTCGTTGTCAGAATGCACAGCTCCATCTTCATTCCCTCCTCTGTCTTCGTACCAAGTCGATGCAGGGTGAAGTCGATCGGGGCTTGGATAAAATTTTGCTCCTGCCTGGATTCATTTAGGAAATAAGTAGAACACAAAATTAAATAGGGCCATATTATACAGTCAATTACAATATTATACATTCAATTATTTAGAAATTACAGAATTAGTAAACTAACCAATGAATGACAATCTAATCAATTATTAAAAACCAAAGACAAATAAAGAAATGGTATGTAACAAACCTGAACATCAACGCCCATTTGGTGGCCGTTGCTCGCATGACTCCTGTGAGTGATCCAAGGATTAACGTCTGCCTTTTGCCAAATTAGAAGCAGACTGTAGTACCCACTGACCAATCCGAAGCCATCAACCGAGTACACCCCTTGAAACACGTCTTTCACGTACCCGAGCAAAGAAGCGTCAGCTCTGGCCTCTGTCACCACCACCACTTCCGGGGAAAAGGCATTGTATAGCTTGTTGAACGTATCCTTGAAAGATGGACGGTTCACATTCCGTGCATTCCACACAATAAAAGTAGCCCCTTTTGGAAAACATGGAGCACCCGCCGTAATGTCTTCCGTCGAGCCACAAACAGAGATTCGATGGTACCGAATATGTCTTAAGGTTGTTGTAGATGTGAACACATTCAAAGTAACCAATCTAATGTTGAGGTTGACTTCCATGACATGAACAGTAGAAATTTTTGAGCCAATGAAAATGTGCTTTTCAATCAAAGGAATAGTGTAGATTGGAAGATGGTCGGTCATCACGAGTGGCTTACGATCGAAAATAGGGATCAAATCTAACGGTATGAAGGGAGCACCAACCACAGCCATGGATTTCTAACACAACCACCTTGCTAACACCGGGACACCCTTGTGGAGGTACCCTTCTAGATCGGACAGCGTAGGATAGTAAGCAGCCCTTGTGTCGAAGTCACTAACCTCCATGATGCTGTCGGGGATGAAGGTGGTGGTGTCATCGTCAAGAGAATTAATTAGTTGTTCGCGGACGATGTTCACAGGAATTGGGTCCATATTAAGGAAGTAATCTTCCGCATCATATTAACTTATCTCGTTGAACTTGAGCTCGGGCTCAATTGAGGTTAAGAAGCCACTAAAGTACATGACGGGTTCAGCTGGGTGTGGCTACATTAGGCGACCCCATATGTTGCGCATACTACAGAGACGGGTGGACATGGCTACACTTGAGATTGTTTTTTGGGTGTTTGTTTTTTGGGTGTGGAGGGGTTACTGACCACAATAAAATGACAACTGAAATAATAAATCATCCAACTACAACTGTAGCGTTCAACGCAACAAGCAATATGTTCAAACTCACAACAAAATCTGTGTTTGACATGACTATTCATCACCCCAGCACAGTAGGTTATAATTAGATCTATTACTAATATTTTACCCTAGGGTGTTACCGTGTGGTTTTACCCTATGCTTTTAATAAACACTGTCCAACTAAAAAAGCTTCAAGATTGATTGACATGACAAAACAATGTAGTTGGCTGAAGCAAGACATTAGCTGTACTTTATTAAATTTTAAATTCATATAAGTTAAAATAGTACATCCCTTTAAATTCACATCCCTTTAAATTCATAAAAGTTAAAATAGTACATCCTTTCCCAAGTGTTGAGTATTAGGTGGTTATTTTATCTTTTACAATTACAATTCCAAAATTATGGTTATATATTGAAATACTGAATATAACTTACACCCCCTTTGAACATTTTATTTCAAAATGAAACCAAAATTGAAAACGAAATGTGATATCGTAGATTTTATCTTAGATGGTGGCATACAATCGGGTGAGTTAACTGAAATATACGGGGAAAGCGGAGTGGGGAAAACACAAATATGTTTGCAACTTCTCCTGACTTGCATGCTCAAGCCTCCAGATGGTTTGTACGGGTCATCGATATACATTCAAGCATGCCCGGTGTTTCCTTTAAGGAGATTAAATGATCTTAGCAAGATTATTTGTGATTCACTAGTGGGGGAAGATCCTTTGTCCTCCGTCCATGTTAAAAAAATCGACAATCCTGATCAAATATTTTTGGTGTTGAACCAAGTCGAACAAATTGTGTTGGCCTCACATGAAGAATGCCGACACACAAGAGTCGTTATACTTGACTCTATAGCATACTTGTTCAGGCATGCACATGACAACACCGCAAAAGGATTCATGGAGAGGAGTGAAGTATTAGTGGAAATATCTAAAAAGATGAAACACATAGCGAGTACCTACAACATTGCATTTGTGGTGGTGAATGAGGTTCTCGATGTTTTCGAACATAATAACGCAATGTTGCAAACATTCACTTCTAGCCGGGAAGTCAAGGCATCACTAGGACAGAAATGGGCACAACAACTCTCGAACAAGATGTTCATTTCTAAGCAATACGACAACAATTCTAAGTCCTGGTATCGCGAATGGTTGGTGGTATAAAATACAAACACCTCCATAGTAGGGCGGCGATGCCCTTTTCGCATCACACACAAAGGTGTTGAACCCATTTAATGGACATCATCATCTTATGCTACGTAAGGTATGTTCCAGGATTTGTAGGGTACCATTTACGATCATAATGGTGCCACTTTATTGTTAGTTTAAAATTAGCACCAATGAGGTCAAATAATGTACCAAAAAGATTAAGTAGGATGCCATTATGGTCCCTAAAAGGTTCTAGTGATTTAATGTAAGTACCATTGTGGTCATATATTGTACCATTAAGATTAAGTAGGATGCCATTATGGTCCCTAAAAGGTTCTACTGATTTAATGTAAGTACCATTGTGGTCAAATATTGTACCATTAAGATTAAGATTAAGTAGGATGCCATTATGGTCCCTAAAAGGTTCTAGTGATTTAATGTAAGTACCATTGTGGTCATATATTGTACCATTAAAATTAAGTAGGATGCCATTATGGTCCCTAAAAGATTCTACTGATTTAATGTAAGTACCATTGTGGTCAAATATTGTACCATTAAGATTAAGATTAAGTAGGATGCCATTATGGTCCCTAAAAGGTTCTAGTGATTTAATGTAAGTACCATTGTGGTCATATATTGTACCATTAAGATGAAGTAGGATGCCATTATGGTCCCTTTAACGTTGTACTCAGTTAGTTTAAGCTTTGTATCCGGAATTCAGCTTATACTTGAAAGGTCCACCAACTACCAACTAGAATTAAATGAACACTACAAGTAATGCAGTAAATGTTTTAAAGCTTTGTATCTCGTTGGGCTCAATGCAACACTTAAAAAAGCTACTAAAGAGCATCATTTAAGTTGAAGTACAAGGTTGGGTGGGTAAAGAAAATTATGTAATTGATTTTGATACAACTGTCACAATGAAAACCTACATTGTGAAGAAAATTATGTAATTGAATGTAAGTCCCATCTCGTTGGGCTCAATGCATAACTTAGTAAATGTTACAGCAAAGGCAGTTGGATGTATTCAAATCACAGCCAGTTCTACGTCTATAAATGAACAGAAAATTTTAACATGGAAATCATTTCATAAATTAGCACCACAAAAATTCCTAACAACAAAATCAAATACAAGAACATGGGTAACAAAGGTATTAGTTCTACGAATTATTAGGTTTAGATCAAAGGCAAACACATTTCAATGAGTATAACATATGGCATCTGTAGTAGTACTATTTACACACTAACTTTATTAATTTTTATTGCAGTGGCACTTTATGTATTTGTCAAATGGTAATTCTTGAATAAATAGAGGTATTTTATGAGGTACTAATATATGTTTGTTTTCATTGTTGGTGCAGCTAATTCGCGTGAGGAAAGGAAACGAAAGAAGTTCTTACGAAGGGTGGCCAAGATCAAGAAAACGGGGGTACACGATCCAAAGGCTATGATTAGGGACATGTACATGCCAAAGTACAGCCATCGTATGATGCTTTGTCATCAACTACCCACAATCGCACGGGGTGGCTTAGAAGAACCAATCAAAGGGATTGATTTCCACCCAAATTACCCTTTTTTAACTCTGTTCAATGTTAGTAGGGCACGTTACTTTCGTAAGGAGGCTTTTTGTTTCATGTGGTACTTGGTCGATGTTGCAAACATAGCCATCTATTTCAACTTGAGAACCTTAAGGAGGTCTCTAGCTGAGTGTTATGCCTACGCCCTTTACCACACCTACCTCAAACGTTTCTTTGAGTCTTTTACATACCTTGAGGATTGGTGGTTGGATGTTGATGAGGAAATTGGCAAGGGGAATGAGTGGGGAATTGTACTTGTTGGCAAGAAGTTCACTACTCCTGCTGAACAAGGAATCAAGGTTACTTATAAATGGCTTCAATTCACAAAAGAGGATCCAACCGAGGCTATTACTAACATCCCCGAGCAGCGCATGGCTTTCAGACGCAAAATGTTGTGTGAAAATGGCTATGATGAGGTGGCTAACTTGTCTCTTGTAACTGCCGAACCGTTCACCTACAATGACTACCCACCCGAGTATGTCAAACGTCTACAACACGCAGTCCATTTGTATGAGACGAACCATGGAAGTGACTCTGCTCAAGGTCTAAACTGGACATCGGAGTCTGTTTCGAGTTTTGTTGACTCGGCCATCGGATGTCAATTACTAATTCAGTTTTGAGTGCTTAAAAATGTCATTTGTACGAATTTAATTGTTGTACTAATTACCGGCTCTTAAGTGTTAAGTTCTAATATAGTTGTATGTACTATTTACGTGTTAAGTACTAATATAGTTGTAGTACTAATTAAGTGACGCAAATTGATATATTCATTGTTTAGTACTTTGTATTTTTCAGAATCTACTTGTTTTAAGAATGTACAAATTACGGTAAGATACCAGCGTATGAATACCAAATTTCAATTCTACACAAAATGAGTTTGAGCCAGCCAAATGCAATGTCCTTTTGGGCCAAATTTGTCCTTTTAAGTACAAATACCAAATTTCATTTCTACAAATACCAAAATCCTTAAGAGCCAAATGCAATGTCCTTTTGGGCCAGCCACATACAATATGTCTACATTGTCAACCCAACCATAGTTTGTCATCACATCTAAAGTTGACAGTTTTTCCAAAAATCAAGGACACAAATCAAACACCACAAATTACAAAACACACAACTAACTCGCCGAGTGGGTTTGCGTAGACGCAGTCCTTTTGGGCCAGACTCGTTCCTTTGGGAGAATTTCATCAAATTTCACTAGCAATTCATTGCATGGGTTATTTGCATCCTCCAAAAACAACTTCTTCCTCAAGTTCTTCTCCTACAACACGCAACGTAGTAATATCAATATTTTGCCCCAAATTAACTATTATTAAACAAGTTCAATATCATGTATATAATACACAGCAAACATACCATCGGGTAAGTAGAAAGACAAGAATTACTGGCACAGTGTTTAATGCAACCAAGCATTAGCACACCACAGGAGAAGCTGCTCCATGAGTAGCAAGACATGTGGTTAGTTTAACTGATAAATGTCATGTACTTATCATAAGTGTGAAATACCATTTAACATTCAAAAGTATAAAACTATGACCTTTAACAATGCCAAATTCATGGTACTTACGTATCGGTTTGCTTCACCATGCCAACCACATGCCTAGGCCACAACTCACAAGTGCCCAACTCCCAAAGGGGATCTTTCAGGTGCAACAGAACATCAATTGCCTTCACCTATGAACACAACATAATTCAGAAAATGTGCATGGTTTGTCATTGCAAATATGGTTAAAACATTAGACTGAAGTTACTAACCAATTCCGTAACAAGCTCAGAATGGCTTTCATAAGGATCCGAGTATAACGAGTCAATGATCCAAAATTGCTTCTTCACCATATCCATGAAAAGGCACCACCAATGTTCATCCGAATTTGTCGCCGACCCGTCAAGCACAGGGAAGAAAACCTTGGCACCAACAGTTTGTTACTGTAGGGAATAGTTTCAAGCCTTTAAAATCCCACTAGCTTGAACCCCACTGTGATCATACACTAAAGTACGGTGGCGTCCAAAAGGGAAGAAGATAGAGCAAAAGAGTAGCCAACAAGTTTGTAAGGAACTTGTAAACCGTTCATAGGATGAAGGTTACACCCCTTAACGATCCAAGAGATCGTCAACTCCATAAGGTCATGAACCAAATAAGGGTTCGGGGATGATGGTACAAATCCAACCTAAAAGAGATTGAACCTGCCCTAATAATAGGCCTCTACTTTATTCTGCTCGTATTCATGTGCGCTTTCTGACTAACATACAATCAATAAGATTAACCCTAAACCTGTTTAATCTATGTTGGTTGAATATTAATGCACAAATAAACTATTATTGGCGATCAGTTGAATTATAATCATATTAACCTAACAAGATTATTAATTATCTTATTAAGCATGGTTGCAAATACAAATTCCCTTTAAGCATGCAATGAAAGGTGTGATCAAGCAATAAAATAAAAAATAATCAAGCAACATAATAAATAATCAACATCATTAATAATAATAATATCAATCATAATCAATAATCATGTTAAAGCATAGCAAGATCCTAGGCATGATACTAACAAGATTAATAACAAACCCTAGCATGTCACTTAACAATAAAAATCAAAGCTTTAGCCCTAACATGATACTAACAATCATAAATATTATGAAGGAAATAAAAGGCATCATAGCAATCATATTTAATATTAAAAATACCCTAGACATGATACTAGGAATATCATAATAACAATCTAAACATGATATCTACATCATAAATCAATTAATCAATAAAATCCCTTAAAGTACTTACTTGGATGCCTCGTACCTCTTTCTAATAACAAAATACACACGTTAGTAACTTCAAGGAAAATAATAAACAAAACAATTAAATTAAATAATTGAAAGAGAGATTTGGGACCAAACCCTCAGAAATTAAAACCTTTCACGTCTAGGGCGAAGGCAACTTCGAATATGGCTAGGTGTTTCTAGATCTTGCGAATGCGGAATTTTGTATCAAAAAGCAAAGCTTAGAAAAGAATACTAAAGAATTAATATTATTGAAAGTTGATGAAAGAAAGATGAAGAATGAAAAGAATTGATGAACGATTTGTGAATGAAGAGAGTTGATTAAAACTTAAGAATAAAGAGAATTGGTGAATCTTGGTGAATGAAAACGGAGTTTTAGATACGATATTTATAGAGAAAATCATCCAAAAAAGATAATTTAACAAAACAGAGTCTGAAGACCGCAAAACAACCTTGGCGTCAGCCCTGGCTCATTGGCGCCAGGACCAGTGGCTAGCATCAAGCGCCAATCCTGATTCCAGGCGCCAAGGCCTGGGGTTGGACGCCAAATTGGATTTCAATGCGTTTTCAAAAATCTGATAAATTTCCGTACTGGAAGATAAAATAATATAATTTCCATCGAAAATGCTATTTCATCTAATTAAAACTCTGAAGAGTCCTAATTGAATTAAGAATGAAAAGAACCTTCTAGAATGTTCTAGAAGACCAAAACCATTCCTAATTATATTAGGAATGATAAATTATATTAGGCCCTCCCCTAGATCATTGGGCCGTACTTAAAGCTCAAACCGGGCCCAGTTTAGTAAATTGGCCATAACTTCCTCAATATTCATCGGAATTGGGCTTATAATATATCGTTGGAAAGATATTTGCAAGCCCCATCCAACTACACCACTATTGGACCCATATCATGGACCAACCAAACTGGATTGGCTTTTTTCTTAAAATAAAGTTTTCAAAAACAGAGAGAAGAGAAAAGAAATAAAACTTTCCGCAACACTGGACCTTTCCACACTTTCGTTTCATTCGATTATGATTCGACGTGAAAGGCACTCATCACTAGGTTTGGTTTTAGGGAGACACAAATGGGTGTCTACAGAAGCCCCCACTTTGACTAAGTTTGGAGAAACGTAAGTTTCGAAAACGAATGCCAAAGTATCGATAGGGACGGAGAATGATTCAGAACGTTCTGCGATCCTTAATCAATCTTATAACGTCGATACCTGCAAAACTAGCATTAGTTAAACAGATAAAAGAGTTAAGAAACGCGTATCTTGCACCGTCGAGCACACGTCTCTGAAAGTAACCGATTGCTGCTGTTGTTGTTGTTTTGATGATCTCCTGCAAGCTAGAGAATGCCATCCCGCCTGAAAACCGCTACGCCTTGTAACTGCTTCCAAATCAGAAGATTGCTTCGACTGAAACTATCCTCTCCGCATTGATAATATTCCACGTCCAAGGGAACATCATCCAAAATTTTTTCTCTTGAAATAATTCTCATCCGCATTACGATCATCTTCCATGCCTCAGGAACTATGATCGAAGACAATTTCGCCCTGAAATTACCTTCAGCTGTTTGTGACAACTTTCCGCAAGCCAGGGAATGATTCCGAAGACATCTTCTCTTGAAGTCATCCTCATTTAATGCGTTAATTTTCCAAAGGAAAATACCGAAGATCCACGCCTGTCGATCCTTAAAAGTTCGCCTGAACTTTGCTCGTGTTATGCCTATACGTCGGCGCTCTTTCGCTTTGAACCTGTATATCGGTGCTCTTTGCTCTTGAACCTATATGTCGGTGCCTTTGCTCTTGAACCTATATGTCGGTGCTTTTTGCTAATGAGCCAATGCTTAGGTGCTTTAAGCATAGTGAGACGATCTTTTCATCAGGTCGATCACTTTACGTAATCAAGCCGATTACTTAATCATGTCAAATTGCTTAGAGGGGCTAACTGGCGTACCAAGGAACCCAAAATATGTTGCAGAAAGCTAGCACAACCCCAACAGGTGGCTGGCTTCTTTGGCGTCGCTGAAAATCAATCATCGCCAGACTTATGGCATTAGCTCCATACGCTGGCATTGGCGTCTGGCGCCAAGCACAGAAAGTGACGCCAATGCCTAGGGACTGGCGCCAGCACGGATTCTTCTTTAAATTCAATTCTCCGTTTTATTTCTTGCTCTGTTCGTCGCGAAACAGCCTGAGAGAAGTCCGAAAACTTCAATTGATCGTTGCTCACTCATTTCTCAACCGAATTCGCTCAAATTTGTTGCAAATCAAAGCTCTTCTCATCCATATTCCCGATCTATGTAAGTTTTCCTCCAAATCACAACGGTTTTTATGAATTCTTGGCATGTTCATCCACGAATTTCATGAAAATTCGAAACTTATAATGCTCAATTTGCTTTGTTTATCAAGTTTTATGCCATGAAATTGCTTGTTTATGTTTGTATATTGCCTTGGGAGTAATTTGAGACTTGTTTGACTCAATTTGGTGAAGAAATGAGCAATCCGCCATTGTTGAACCTCTTAAGGTAGTGAAGAACAATATGACCCGTTCTTGATGTTTTTGCTAGCAATTCTTGTTCAATTTGTCACAATAATCACTATAGTGTTGCAAGAAATTGTTTGATTGCTTGAAAAAATGCTGTCATGCTCAATTTGAATTTGTGCTCTGTTTTAGTACTACGTACTCTGTTTTTGCGAACATAGTATCATGCGGCTAGGCGAACCTTTAGATACTATAGAACCTTAATTTATGATGATTCTGCACAATGTTGCATGGCTAGACAACGAGGCTCAGGTTCACGGTCCCGAAACACTAGACGGGAGCATGAGCCCGTGGAGGACGACACTACACCGTCCACTTCGCTTGGTCGGTTCCCAGAGTGGGATGAGCAGACCTTGTTCTTTGCCCCTGTCCACCACATTTCAGAAAGGGTGAAACGGGGAACCGAGCCTGGGAGGACACGGCATCACGGCTCTGGCTGTGATGGTCTAGGCGATTTGTATAGGATGCATATTGCCAGAGACCGAGAGACGAGACTCCTATGGGAGTCTTGCGGATTGATTGCCTTATTCGAGACCTCCGAGGCTATGGTTGCCTCCAGCGGGGGTCACCACGTAGTACGCGCTCTGGTGGAGTTCTTCTGGGACACCACCAACACTTTTAATTTTCCATGGGGTGAGATGATGGTCACTCCTACAGACTTCAGTCTCATCACAGGACTGGAGTTCACTTCTGTGCCACTGCCATTCGACGGCGGTATCGACGTCTTTTCTCCAGAGGTCGAGGAACTGTTGGGGTTGATTGATGTTCGGGCTCGAGCTGAGGTTGAGACGACTCAGTTCAGCGCTAGAGGGATTCGCCGCTCAACGCTGGCAGCGGCTCTTGACGACGATGCGACCACCCGAGAGCAGCGGGTGCGCATCTTTGTGCTGATGTTGTTGTCAGGGACATTCTCCCCTGACAGGGGTAGTAGGGCGTTGCTTTACTACCTCCCTGCTGTTCGCGATCTCCGGCGGATCGGGACTTATGACTGGGCCAGCTTGGCCTACACTGACTTCGTTCGCGCACTGAGGGACTCGTGTCACCATCGGTCCTTTAGGACGAACGTTGCTCTGTGTGCTTTCTGGAAAGTCGTAGAGGTAAACATTATTCCCTATAAAGTTTAGCCCTATATGTTAGTTAGCATTTATTCATGCGTTTAATTTCTCGTAGATCTGGTTCTATGAGTACTTTCCTTTCATTGCGCCGGCGAGACCATCGCCGAGGGGGTATCCGGTGAGCGCCTCTTGGGGCGGCCACCATGTGGACCTGTCTACTGCACGCGTCCGGAGTCGGATCATCTCGGTACGACTTTTAGTGTTTATCTTGCTCTTCTGCGACGTTTTGGACATGTTCTTACCCGATTGGTATTTTTATAGGGACTTGAGGTAGTATACCGACCATGGGGTGGTTGGACAGTCCCTGGATTAGCCGCACAGTATTCTGCTGAGCGCCGCTACTTTCTGGGGACCTACGGAGCGGTTGTGTACTTAGGAGAGAGAGTTGCTAGACAACACTCTTCCGATATTTTTGTTGTTCCTACTCCTCCACCACGTCACATGTTAGACGAGAGAGAGTTATCGAGCATGGCCGAGGAGTCTGGTTCCTTCTGGCGGTCCCATGTGATCCTTGGGCGGAGTTATGCTGAGGAGCTACTTCCTTTGTTAGCTCCAGCC